TGTGAGATATGATGAAATCTGAGTCCACAAATTGAAAATCAGATCTGAAATGGAATCCGAGCCACGCGAATGACGCAATTTCCTTGAGCAGCTTCGGCCGGCCGCAGCCGATCGCCTCCCAAAATAAAGCAAATTGAACGGAATTACAAATTTCACAAACCGAAAATTTTTCAGAGGATATTTTGATTGCAGAGAAAAAAAAGATGATTTATGGCAAAACTTAAAAAAAAATTGCAAAAAGTTTTTCTTGTGTGTCTCATTTTGAAAGCTAAATAGGATATATATTTCAAAAAAAAGATAAAATTAAGGTTTTGTTTTGTATTTTAATCCAAGGGCCAAGCCCATCTTCGAGATATATCATAGGCCCAAACATGCATGTCCAAGCTATGCAAGCCAAAGTCCAATTTTTTATTTACCAAGGAAGGATCACATATTCTATATAAAGGTGAGTGGAGTGTATGGGATAGTTGCTATTTTTGTCTTCTTTCTCTTTTAAAATACAGACCAACAAGTTCTACCGGGGAGAATGTGTTTGCAACTGGTAATCGTCTAAAGGTTACGGATACACTTCTAGCTACGAGATATTGTATGACTGTGTTAGGAAGGTATATATAAGGTATATATATATATATATATACATATATGTTCTAAATTAGTAGGACAATAATATCAATTTTACAGGGGGAATGGATAAATTCTAGGATTCGTTTATTTTATATTCCCTCCGTCCCAACTATCGTGTCTTATTTACTATAGACGCAAGAATTTATAAGGGGTATAATTATAAATAATTAAGAATGTATTAATTACAATAATTATCGTATAATAAAAATAATTTTAGATTAAGATTTATATAACTAATTAGTCTAATAAAAATTAAAAAAAATTATAAATTAAAAAAATTAATATATGATTAAAGTGTATAATTTTTTTCAAAAAAAATAATAAAATAAATAAGACAGACGAAAATGAAAAATTTGATAATATAAATGAGACGGAGGTAGTAATCATTAGGCTATTTAATCTAATGCTATATATATATATATATATATATATGAGGACGGCTGCTAAGTAATTACATGTGATTTTCTATTCTTTTTTCAAAAATTGTTTAATGGATCCCTCCACTTAGTATATACTCTCTCGTCCACAAATTAATTTTAATGTTTTTTTATTTGAGACGCTCAATAATTATTGTTTTATTTTTTTTAAACATAAATTTTATTTTTTTTTCCGTTTATTCATTTATTATTTTTAATCTATAAAATCAAATTTGTTTATTCATAGTAAAAAAATAATTACCTAAAAAATCGTGCAAATATACTTTAGGACAATAAAAATGGACGGAGCGAGTATTAATTAATATATGTTATATTAATATTATATAGTGATTTTTTTATGATTTTTTTTTTCAAAAATTATTTGGTGGTCCCACCACTTAATATACATTATTATATACATTAACTAAATATATATTATATTAATTTTATATGTTATTATTATTACTATTATTTATTTTATTTATTTGTTTTGGTATATCTTTAAAATAGTATAATTACAAATTAAATAATTAACTGTAAATCAACCAAATCAAAATCAACGGCCGAATCGATTTTTTGCATGATAGAAAAGAGACTAAATTGCAAGAAATCCAAATTGCCAAAACGTGTTTTGATATTGCAAAATTAAAAAAATTTTAAAAAAAAAAAAATCTGTTTTGTTTACTACTTGTTTGGAGATAATTATTTAATTTAAAAAATTATTATATTAATATGTATATATATTTTTTTAAAAAAAAAAAAAAAGTAAATAGGCACAGTAGATGGAATTTCAAATAGCTACGGCTAGGTTAGACTATTATCAATTTATGTATTTTCATCATGTGGTTCTTGTGCTTGTTCAAATTCTATTAAATTTATTTAGCCAACTCACATCTTGTTAGAATTTATTTATTTATTTCAGATAGCGTGAGAATCCGCAGAATTTATTTGTTTTTTAGTTATGATATTTTACCTCTAATATAATTTTTTTATTTGTAGATCTCACAAAGTCGACATTTAAATATTAACTTTTATTTAAAGGTTTTGAGATATATTTTTAAATGAAAAAAAGTATTATAATTGTTAAAAATATATTCCAAGCGTTTACTAATTATATACTATTTGACTTGAAAATGACTTTTAACAATATAATAACTTTCTATTTATAAAAATATGTTGGTATGAATTAGATATAAATTTTAATAAATATAATAGTATTACATCAATATATTGCCATATAAGTAAAAATATTTTAAAAATATGTATCAGTAAGTTAACGAAGCGAGATTTTTTTTTTTTTTTTTAAATTGAATATGTATATTTAAATTTATAAATAAATATAATATTGAAGGTATAAATTAACAAATGCATAATACTCTCTCCGTTCCACCACAATTGACACTATTTTTATTTTTGTTTGTCTCGTAACAATTGATACCTTTCTATTTTTGGTAAAAATTACTCCCTCCATCCAAGCTAAAAGTATACAATTACTTTTGGCGCGAAGATTAAGAAATAATAGTATTTTAATTATAGTGGGTAGATGAAAGTAATAAAATGACATTTTTGCCCTTACTTTATTTGTATAAAAGTAATGATGTGATGTAAAGTAGGTGTATTTATGAAAAAAATGGGGTATTTAATGAAATGGTTAATTTATAATTGGACGTCCCAAAATAGAAATATGTATACTTTCTAACTGGACGGAGAGAGTATTAAACTAAAACATATTTAACAAATATAAATCAACTTAATTAACTATATAACATACAACATCATAAATGAACCCACTCAAAACTCTTTTATTTCTACCTCTCTCCTCAAAAAAAATAAATATAAAAAAAATAAATATTTTTATCTATATTTAAAACTATACATTTTTTATAAAATTGATTTATATTAATTATAAATAAACAAAAATATTTTTTATTTACTTGTATTATAGAAGATTTTATTCTACAAAATGATATCTATATTGCATATATTTTTTTAATTGCTATATAATTTTTAAATATTAAACATATATTTTAATTTTTTTAATCATATATATTAAATTTACTTTAAAACTATTTTGCCATTTTAGTCTTACCAGCAAATGTATCCATTTTTTTTTAATAAATGTATCTTCCACTAAAATATAAAATTACCTCACCCTTTATATAATTGTTGATGCAATTTTTCAACAATAAAAAGTAAAATCCGAAAATAGAAATTATCTTCGAATTTGATAAATTAAATGCCTGAGATTAGGAATTCCTAGACATTGTAGGATACATAGATAAACTAGGGAAATAAAAACTACAACTGAAAAGTAAGTGGTGATCCCCAAAAACAATTCTCTTGAATTTGATGTCGACCTAAGATGGTTTTTTAGGTCATGAACAGACCTATTTAAAACTCATGTCAACCGCCATTATCAAATCGTGCCTCCATACCCGCTCATCGGTTGAAACTTCCTTCAACCGCCCAAAACTGCTTTTCGCCCGACTTGTGAACCTACTGCTCCGTCTCCTAGTGTCTATCTTCCACTTGTTTGACCCCGCATCAATTATCTCTTCGTCTAACTTCATTTTGCCCGATCTATATGCCGTCCGACCTGGACGTATACTATTTCCTTCATTTGTTTTCTCCTTGTCTGACTTCATTTCACCCGACCTACATAACGCCCGACCTTATCAGGTCCACCCTCCGTGTTCGACTTTATTACGTCCGATCTAGACGCCCGACCTTATCGCGTCCGACCTCCGACCTGCGAGCCCGACCTGATCACGTCCGACCTCAGTGCCCGACCTTATCAGGTCCGCCCTCCGTGTCCGATCTTATCACGTCCGATCTTCCTGTCCGACCTGATCACGTCCAACTTCAGTGCCCGACCTTATCACGTCCGACCTTCGAGCCCGGCACGTCCTACCTCAGTACCCGACCTTATTACGTCCAACTTCCGAGCCTGACCTGATCACGTCCGACCTCAGTGCCCGACCTTATCACGTCTGACCTTCGAGCCCGGCACGTCCGACCTCAGTGCCCGACCTTATCACGTCCAACTTCCGAGCCTGACCTGATCACGTCCGACCTCAGTGCCCGACCTTATCACGTCCGACCTTCGTACTCGATCTTATCACGCCCGATCTATGTGTCTGACCTTATTATGTCTGACCTCCGTTTTCTCCCGATGAAGCTTTTTCCTTAACAGCACTCGGACTTATATTTGGACTCCTTTTGAAGATCATACTACTATTAACAAGCCCACTAAACTCTACACCAATCCTTAAACTAATTTAATAGGCCCATTCTCGGAAACCCTACACATCATTTTTTGTGCTCAACAATAATATTACACAAATGTCATCAAATAACACCACTTAATACCGGGATATAATAGTCTTTATGTATATCAATTGTATTACATATCAATATAATACTAATATACTAAAATCTATATGTAAAAAGTAAACGGATACATAGGCTAGGCAGTGGATGAAAAGAGTATAATAATATCATAACTAATTATTACTCTCTCCGTCCAGTTAGAAAATATACATATTTCTATTTTGGGACGTCCAATTACAAAGTAACCATTTCATTAAATACCCATTTTTTCCACAAATACCCTTACTTTACGTCACATCATTATTTTTATACCAAAAAAGTAAGAGCAAAAATGTCATTTTACTACTTTTATTTGTCCACTATAATTAAAATATTATTATTTTTTAATCTCTGCTATTACTTTAAGCTTGGACGGAGAGAGTATTAATTAATTAAATATTATTACTGTGTCTCTAATAATATAAAGGTTTACTTTCTAATAATAAAAAGGTTTAATTTCGGTGGGAATGAGGGATTATATTTTTTAATTATTTATTGAGAGTGTACTTTTATCCTCCAGTATTACAGTGTACAGAAGTAGACGATACGTGGGGACGAGTGGAGTACTTATTTATTATTTATTTAAAAACGTTATTAATATTTCCGGTGGCGAGGCAACCAGACAGACCACAGCGCCTGCCTGCCGAGCTAATCGTTTTTCCGATCATTCTTTGTGTTTCCCAACAAAATCCCTCCTAAAATCTGTCTGGTTTCCTTCACCCATGGCTTTCGCCTTGATTTCCTCCAAAATCTGCTCCTCCATTTTCTCCTATACATCAACTTCATCGTCGGCTCCAAATTACTATCCGTGGAAATTTTCTAAATTCCGCATCTGTCCATCGCCGCAGACTTTCAGTTGCAGGTGTAAGCACGAATTATCAGCTGTGGATGAGCGGAATTTCGTGCTTCACGATGCTCTGGATGCATCTGGCATGGATACCACTCACGCACGGGTATGAGTTTTCAGTTTGTGTTGTGATTAACTGATAATTGCTAGAATTTTTCAGATTTAGATCATTGATCTTTCTTAACTGAATTTTCAGTAGCTTTCTTAGTTAAACTGTTGTGTGCCTCGAACTGGCTGGGATATACATACTTACCACACAATTAGTGGTAAGGGATCGTAGTTAAGAATTGCACTCAGTTTTGGTGATCACCATGGATGTTTATTAACAGCTTTACTATTGATGTTGTATGTTGTAACACTTTGCCTTGAGTTTTCTGAAACTGTTCAATTGCTAGATTTCACTCTCAAAATTATTATGCCAGGCAATTATTATTCATACAAGACATCACAATCGAACTACTATTCACTTGGATGATTAAGGAAAAAATAACACTTAAACAAATCAAGTTAAAGGAAATACGTTTCTTCTTGGATGAGGTTTCGGTAGCAAAGTAATGAAAGATACTACTAGTATTAAATATGTTTCTTAGAGCTTACAATTATCCATGGAATAAAATAGTAAATGGCATCATCCTTTCTCTGTTTGAACAGGCTGCCAGAGTTGGATTTTGCTCGCAGATTGAAAAGTTATGTGACATTGAGAGAGAAACAAGCATAAGTGTAAATAGAAGGGTTGATTTGGGTAGAGCAGCTCTTCATATTGCGGCTGAAGATGACTCTCTTATATCACACTCTTCTGTTCCTCTTCCTATAGATGATTTTATTGAAAGATTGGATAGCCTTTCTATGGGTTATTGCTCTCATTATAGTTCTTCATATAGATCCTCGCCCGAGAATTTTCTGGAGTGTTTAGAAAGATACCTATATGTTAATAAAGTAAGTTAATCTTGTATGCTAAGTTTATTAGAAATTAGGTTGCTGCATAACAAAAGAGAATTTCTTTCAAAGTATTTGCTCTTTGTGTAGCTTAGTTTATCATTATTTTACAAATTTGTTTACCTAATGCTGAAATGTAGATTCCCAACTAGAACATGGCCTTGTCCTTTTTCAGGGATTTCGAAGAACAGCCGAAAAAACCCACATAGAGCAGCGTGCCTTGTATCTCAATTCAGTTTGTATCTAAGCTTCCACAACTAATAAATTTTGGTGTTAGACTAAGTTATGGTTCATTGCTCCTGAAAATTGCATTTCTTGTACAGGTCTTGACGCATCGCTCAGGTTCTGTCTCGATGCTCTCAATTATTTACTCAGAGATTCTAAAGATGCTTCGCATTTGGGGTGTCCTAGATTTTGATGTGGAAATCTTCTTCCCTCATGATTCTCATAGTTGTCCCAGGGGCTATCAAAAAAAAAAGAGCACAGAATCTGATCAATTACATATCATGACCACACAATCTTTATTGGTGGAGGTAAAATGTTAAAAGATTTATTTACTAAATTGTAGAATACTTATGCCATCTTTCCTCAATTGTTAAATTCAATTTCATGTGTCTTTCCTCTGTGAATATTAGATTCTTGGATGTATTTCTCTAATTCATGTCATTGTCGCTTGTATTCTTAACTAATTTTGGCCCTGCCAGTAGAAATAATCTCAACAAGTTATTGAGGTCACATTATAGAGCTTCTAGAAGGTCAGATACTTCATTGTAATCTAGAGCTTGACTTGGTTGGCTCAAGAATTTGCCTAAACTGGCATTATAAATCCTTTTTATAATGTGTTTCCTCATGTTGGTGGGTACTTAATCTGTCAAATGTATTGATGCAGATGTTGAAAGATTTAAAAAATGCTTTCTGGCCATTTCAACTCGATAATTCTAGAAGTCCATTTTTAAGCGCAGCACAAGCTGCTCAGTGTTTCATCGGACCAAATAACACTACCGAAAGGTACTTTCGAAATCTTTTAGATATAATATTATTGAATTGCAGATGAAATGTTGGGAAATGGTAGACACAGCACAAGACAATGAATAATACAAGAATTATGGGGTTACACAGTGATGAGGGACTGCTCAAAGGTTACATCGTATTAGTCCTTTTTTGACAAAGTTCCATTATAATACCTAAATTTTGGGTACAACATAGAGAATTACACATATTACAATTTATATGAGTTTATAAGAGCTTAGAATAATGAAGTACTTTATAGTTTACTATTTTTCATTAATCATTTTTAGCTATCACTATATTGGTTTATATAAAAAATTATTATATAAAAGCTACTTTGATCTTTAATATATAATTTTATTTTTAATTCATTCAGTTTCTTGTGTTTAAGTCCAATATTGCAACACTTTTTAATGATGCCTCCTTTATAACGTTTCTGCCTCCTTTTCTCATGTGCACTGCCCTTGAAAATTATTTCTTGCATCTGCTAAGGTGGTGGACATTTTACATGGTATTTGGATGTTTATATTTCAAATTTCACCATTTCTGATTTACAGAAAAAAATAAAAAAATGTTTCATGTGCAATTTTATTAAAAAACCTTGTGTGAAGAAGGGTGTTGGAAGAATTACATGTAGTTTGCATTTTTTTTAAGCTTAATATTTTATGTGTATTTAGTTCAATAAGGCATTTTAAGTCTAGAAAATTTCATGTTCACTTTAGATGGGTAAAATAAATTGGCCAGCCAGTTTAGTAAATTGTTTGAAAAGATATTTTTTTTCGTGAGATATAGAAAATTGTGTAATTAATATAAAAATAAGCGTGTGTAATATATTAATTTTTTCGGGGAAATGTGTTTTTGGATATTGGTGAAAGAACACACCCCATTTTTCATTGGAATTCTAGTTTTGATTTAAGCTTATAAAGCTATAAAAGTGTAGGTGTAGGCCATGACGGCCTGGGCCCATGCTAAAGGGCCCGTTTTATAAAAAAACTAAAACAAAAAATAAGAATTATATACATAAAAATAAATTTTTATAAACATATGTAGTATAATATTAGAAAATATAGTCAAAACTGCACAAAACCCACATGTGATTTTACGAAATTACAGCCAAATCCTTCGTATTTTCAAAATTGTATCAGATTCTCTCATGATTTCATAACTTTTTGTCTAATCCTTTTGGCCGTCTGTTTGATCTGTACATGTTGAAACTGCATATGAGTTTCAGAATCTTTATTTCTAAACCAATTTACAAATATAATTATTCTTTCTTATATTTAGCCTCAACAAAAATTAAATATACTGAGAAATAGTAGTTTGCCTTTGGTTGTATGAATTTTTTAAGTATTCTTTAAGACTAAATATAAAATGAATGAATATGTTTTTAATTTGAAGATTTTGAAACTTATTTGCACGATGCGTGCATGTTAAACATTCTGTTAAATAAAGATGGTCTAGGGGGGTTAGATGCAAAGTTTAGTTTGACCCAATTTAGTGAAATTGGGTTTTGTGCAGTTTTGCCAAATATATATATTAAAGTTTGATTGGTATGAGTTTAAATATGAGTTTTTATTTAAATTTTGGTTTAAAGAGTATTTAAATGTGATATTTAATAAGAAAAATAGTACATATTTTTATTGAAATTGAATAATAAAAAATAGTTTGAAAGCAAAACCAAAAAAAACCCAAATTTTTATTAAATAATCAAATATATAATTTAAATTTATTATTTTTATATTATTCATACATAAAAAATAAAGTAAAGACTTTATTTTTGCTCCAGACCCATCAAAAGCACAGTATAGGCCCTGGGTGTAGTTGTTACGCTTTATAAAATAGTAGGAAATACCTCTAGTAATGACATATGCTTCAATGAGACTATGGAGTTTACATTGATATCATATAGTTACCTGTAATGAAGTATGTTCCTCCTCTGCATGCATCACTAATTTTTACTCGACTCCTTTGTCTGATGTAGTGCCTTTGAACTTGCATCTGCTAAAGCTGCTCGTCATAGGCTGCAAAGAGGTGTTTGGACTAGTGTTCGATTTGGTGATATACGGCGTGCACTAGCAGGTATGCTAACTTGTAGTATTTGTTTTCATGGATTGAAGAATAGACCAAAGAGTTTGTTCCGAGGGATGGGATTGTTTATCCCCTGTGTTGAGTTAGATTAGTAATCTTCCAATATTTTAGTTGATTGAAAATGATAGTATAACTCTTTTACTAAAATACACAACTTAAATTGATTTAATTTATAGTCGATTCCATTAACTTTGATTGCAGAGATGAGAAAAATGATTTAGAAGGATAGAATATATATTGGAAAAGTCGTAAATTTTGGTTTGTTCTGATGTATGTGTGTGATGTCACTGATGACAGCATGCGAGCGCCTTATCTTACTGAAAACTGATCCCAAGGAACTAAGAGACTATGCAGTTCTCCTGTACCATTGTGGATTTTATGAGGAATCTTTGCAGTACCTTAAACTTTACCAGGTGGATGGATCTTCTTATATATATATATATATATATAATGCTTTCTCAAGTCTAGGTAGGCTAGCTAGCTAGTAACATAAATATGCATATTCCCGACAATTTGTATCAGCAGCAAGCAGGCTTAGGCTCAAGCGATGAGTTGGAGGGGGAGGAAGACGGTGCTGCTGCTGCTGCTGCCGCGGTGGAGGAGTTAATAATTCGGTTGAAGCTGATTATGATGGAGGAGGGTTGGTCTCGGCGGGGGCCCCAAGACAGCAAAAGTATCCTTTTCAACAATTCTGAACCCTGGTAATATCTTCAAACCTTTACATCTGATTAATCATCGTTCATGTAGCTGTAGAGTAGACAATTTACTTACGTGTACATATATATATATACATATATATGATAAGAACAACCATGGTTGATACTACCCTACCCTACCATATGTATATATATTTATGCATGTATATCATATGTATGGTGACAATGAAAGAAATTTTGTGTTTAATTGTTAATTTTCCTTAGCGAATAAAATATACATTATATATATATATATATTGTATTAATGTGTATATATTTAAAGAGCTAGAAAACAAGTGGTATTGTTATGTTTTTTTTGTTCTTGTTTTTTGGAAGATGGTTTTTATGGATTTTTTTCATTTCCAAAATATTCTCTTTTATATCTCAATATTTGTATTTTGAATTTGAAATGATTTGCATTCATTTGGGGTGTGTTTGTTTGGGGGATTGGATTGGATTTACACTATTCATCCAATTTTTTTCTTCCAAAAACATCAAATCAAACACCTATTTTTTATTTTTTTATAATATATTAAAAATCAATTTTACATTCAAAATATCACATCAAACACCTATTTATATCACATCATACAACTTTTCAAATTCAAAATTTTTACTATTCAAATTCCAATTCAAAATCCAAATTTCAGACAAGCACCCTTTATGTTTTACTATAGACATGAGCAGAAGTAGGGGGAGGGGAGGGGAGGGGAGGGAGGGAAACCAAATAAGATATGTAAGTTGACATGGTGTATATTGATAAATTTTATATAAGCACAAACAACTTTGAAAAAAATAATACTATCTCAGTTCACTGTCATCCATTGTCAATCTATCTATTTGCATTTAGTTCGTTATTGTTTTTAACATTAAAAATATCCTTATATTTATATATATATATATATATATTTTTACAAATGTCATTGACAGTATTTTTGTCATTTTTTTTAAATTTATATAATAATTAATATTCAAAGATTAAAATGCAAAAAGTAAATGGATAAATTGACAGTGACGGAGGTAGTAAAAAAGAAACATTGAAGTATTTTTAAAATTAAATTAATTATTTTATATTTAATAATAATAATAATAATAATAATAATAATAATAATAATAATAATATAACATAAAATAATTATAGTGTATATTATATTGAAATTAATTTTAAAAAATATAACAGATATGAAATTTTAAAATTATAAATTTTTAATTTATACTAGATAATATATATTTTTTAAAATATAATTTATAAAAAAAATTAAATAGATTGTAAAATACAATTAATTAATTTAGAAGTAAATTGTATTTTTTAAAATTGCATATTATTAGTTACATGTTTTGATTATATTTATTACATGTTTCTATTTTTTACATTTAAAATATATTTAATTAATTAACTTTATAATATCATACATAGTAAAATTTACTTGAAATTCTTCTATTTCTATCACAGTCGTTGATTAAAATGTATTTTTACCTATATTTAAAATTTTTTATTTTTTTTATAAAATTAGTTTATATTAATTATATAATTTTTTATTTATTTGTATTATATAAATTTTTTATCTCTATTTTTTTATAAAAAAATCATATATTAATTTTTATTTTAAAACTACCAATAAAACCACTTATATAAAAAATAATAAAATAATACTCCCTCCGTCCAAGCTAAAAGTATACATTTACTTTTGGCGCGGAGATTAAGGAATAATAGTATTTTAATTATAGTGTGTAGGTAAAAGTAGTGAAATGACATTTTTGCCTTTATTTTTTTTTTTTATAAAAATAACGATGTGATATAAAGCAGAGGTATTTGTGAAAAAAATTGGATATTTAATGAAATGGTTATTTTGTAATTGGACGTCCAAAATAGAAATATATATACTTTCTAGTTGGACACGGAGGGAGTATTATAAATTACTATAGTTAACTTACTATATTTTAGTACCTTAAATATGGTATGACTAATCTAACATGTCAACTGTTATAAAAAAATAAATTAATATAGAATGAAAGGAATATATATTTTTATTTATAAAAAATAAATTAATATAGAATGAAAGGATTATATATTTTTATTTATAAAAAATAAATTAAAATTTTAAAATAAATTATAAAAAATTAGTAATAACATATATTCACATTAACATGGTTGGGCTAATTTAAAAAGTATTTCAATTCATTTAAATATAAAATCAAACAATATATATATATATATTTAGAAAGAAAATCACAAATTCTTCTACTTTTGTTTTTGTTGAATTTTAAAATGTATTCAGACATTGCGTGAAGTGTGGGCACCACAATTTTAAATCAACTTTAAATTTGGGCGGATGAAAATAAAAAAGATGGACACATAAAAGAATGAAGTATTAAAGTTATATAATTAAAAAACTATTTCAGAGACACGATATTTAGAGGTGCAATTAGTAGATAATTAAGAATACATTAGTGAAAATAATTATCCAATAATATAAATAATTATAAATTAAGATTAAGATAACTAATTAGTTTAATAAAAATTAAAAAAAATAAATTAAAAAGTTTAAAAATGAGATTAAAGTGTGTAGAAAAATGACATGGAATATGAGACGGACAGAAACGACAACGTGGACATGGTACATGGGAGGGAGGGAGTATATCAAAAGCACACATAGCAAAAGTGGTATCTAGCAAGGAATGGTCAAACCCCGCTTCTAGAGTAATGACTCCTTTTCAAGCCTATTTTTAAACGCAATTTTTTCATACCTGGATCGGATTTTGGAGTGCCTATTTTTTCCGGCTCTAATTACTAAGAAGTGGAGTATAGGAAAGAGCAGAAAATAAGCAATGGATTTGAAAATAGGGCAAGCATGCATTATTAATTTATTGCATTATCCCATTCCCACCAATCCAATCAAATATGCGAGTGAGCCTTCAACTTCAACTTGGAGAATGTGCAGCAACAATTAAAACAGGCGAAAGCAAAGGCAAAGGCAAATATTTTTTCAAATCCATAAAAAATGGAGTGTAATTTTGCAGCAGTAGGTACGCACCTGGTGATTATATTGCTGGCTATAGAGATATCTGCATCCATTAATTACTAAATCTTGCCTTGGAGTCGAAGAGTGAAATTGAGCAAAGATAGGAGGACCTCCTTCAAGTTCTCCTTTGCTGATTCATCCATCAAGTTCCCACTTTGGTCGAATTTTGGAGGATTTGAGAATGCATAGAGGGAAAACTCTGGCTTGTTGATGAAATGTAGATCGAGGAATACACCCATCTGCCGTAGTTGATACTGTGCCAGTTGCCCTCGGGTACCTCCAGCTGTGCTCACCATTGCAGCCGCTTTATTAGCCCAAACGTTCGGCGGCCTTGATGCCCAATCAATTGCATTTTTCAGAGGTCCTTCCTTGCCCAAAACCCAAACATTTTAGCTCAAGTATTACAGGTAAAAGTACGCCATAATTCAAATATGTAACTTTAGTTAATTAAATAAGGATTTGTATGCAGCTGCAAGCAAGAAAGCAAGCTGATAATTGCTGCTTCTAACTCTATCAAAGTTCTACAACCCACAAGAATGATTGAGAATTTCAAACCAAAGTTGGGAGCAAGCAAGTTATGACTTCTGAGATTAACCCATTTAGAAAATGCTCTAAGCTAAATTTAGGAGGGCATTGTTTTAATATATAGTTAATCTAATCATTGATACAAAAATATATCTTCCAAGATCATAAACAAATTAATAATTTTATAATTAAAGTTGAAAGTGTCCTTTAACAAATAATACAAGGTCTAAACTTGACATTCTTTTTTTTTTTTTGGTGTTTTGTTTTTACAAACTCCAACAACTAAATATATACAAACATTCAACTACTAAATAGCCTCAATGTTTCTCTTTTTGCCTGTTTTAATTAAACTATTATCAATAAATTAAGAAGCTTCTGCACAACACTGTCTTAATGTAATAAAACCATTTCAAAATGTGCTGCTGTAGCAACAAATTTTCTATTGTGTGTGTTCGAGGGATTTCCCCAAAAATCCACTACTCATCCAATTTTTCCACGTAACATCAATCAAATACCTATTTTTCATTTTTTATATTATACTAAAAATCAATTTTACATTCAAAATAGCATCGCCACCTATTTATATCACATTATACAACTATTTCAATTCAATATTTTTACTATTCAAATCTCAATTCAAAATCCAATACCCAAACCTCTGCTTTTTGTTTTGTTTTTGTTTTTTTTTTTTTCTTTTTTGGCTTATTTATAATAAGTACATGAAAAAAGTTCAATTGGACAAACTAACAAACTAACCCCCCTGAGTTAAATATATATACATTAAACTCACAACACAAGAAGGAAATGCAGTGGAAATATGAACTCTGGAAACATGAACTAGGTAAGCATAGATGGAGCAGATATGAAACAACACAAAAAAAAAGAGCTTCAATTATCTTGGAAAGAAGTGTATTGGCTTAAGTACCTGTGATAGAGTAATTATAATCCGGCGAAGCAAAGAGCACAGCATCTGCAGCAAGGATTCTCTGTCGGAAATCCTCTACCACCGGCGGATATGTCCCTCCCACTTCTAAATCCGTGTTCAGAAATGGCAATGGTGATATATCAACATACTCAATCTCCAAACCATCGACCGACTTCGATATATCCATCGCTACAGAACATCAAAACAGACCAGTTCATAACATATTAGATAATTGAAAACTTAAAAAGAAGAACTCCACACGTTTTTCTCTCAAAACAGTTTCAGGAAGCAAACAGTTTCCAAAAAACTAGGGTATTTTCATCCGAAATCGATTGCCGACAGTAACAAGTGTGATTCAGAACAGAACAAATTTTTAAAAATCGGAGGAAAAATCACAACAATCAAATGGAGAGAAGCAAGGAGAACGAAGGTTCAGCAATTAAGCAGTAATAGTAATGGGTGCAATACGAACCAGCACGGAGGAGACCGCGGTTGTAGGAGGCTTTGCGGAGAGAACCGCAGAGAGCGACAACTCTGACGACTGGTGAAGAAGTGATCGCCGGCGCCGCCATATCGTGGGTGAGTGATGATGAATCCCTAACTGGTACTGGTTGGTCAGACCAATATGATATAGCCTGCTACTGCTGCACTGTCATTCTACTCTATATACACATAAACTTCCTCCTGCCTTATTATTATTGGGCAGGCGAGTTAAGAGCTGTTCATGTATCAACGGTTTTATTTTTTTATTTTTGTCTGTTTTGTATAATTTGTAAAAAATATAAATATATATTTTAATTATATTTTAAAATTTATAATTTTTTTTTTTATTTTAAGTAAATTAATAATTTAATTTTAATTTATAATTATGGGATGGACAAATTAACTGGGACAAAAAAATAGTATTTCACAAAATAAAAACATCCAAATTTGTTGGATTGTTTGGATTTTTTATTTATTTTTTTTTTTTACAGTTTCCTATGTCACAATTTTTTGTGTTAATTCTTACATGTTTTACATGTTATTCTTTTTTAAAACGTACTCTATTCGTTCTTTTTTTTTTCCTTTTTTTTTCTTCCACTTCAATTGATATGATTTTAATTTAGTAAAATTTATTAAATTTAAATATACTTAATAAATATAATTCAAATTAAATAACTTTATAATATATACTTCACATGTGATCCACTCAAAATCCTTTTATTTATATTTCTGTCATAAGTTAGCAAATATTTTTATCAACTTTTAAAACTCCACCATTTTTATAAAATTAATTTCTCTTAATTATAAATAAATAAATATATTGTTTTATTTATTTGTATTATTTAAATTTTATTTTCTACAAAAATAATATTATATTTTAATGACATATAATATTTAAAATATTTAAACACATATTTCAGATTTATTTTAATTATATATATTCATTTTTATTTTAAAATTAATAACAATACTACTATTATAAAAATATAATAAAATAATATAATAATTTACTATTATTAACTAATTAAATCAAATTAATTTAAATAAAATAACGTGTACTAGTTTGTAGGGTATTAAGTTAAACCGGATGTTTACCCAGTGTGTATTTTAGAACAGCGATTGTGAATTTCCCATGTTATCAAAATAAAAAAATGAAAAATAACGTGTCTCAAATGAAGTGAGCCCGTTTCATTTGGAACGGAAAAAGTATTACATATTTTAATTATATTTTTAAATTTTAATTATATTAATTAGTAATTATAATTTGAATTTATAATTTTTTATTATATAATAATTAATTTTATTGATATATTTTTAATTATTTATTAATTATATATTTTCTTCTAAATTTTCGTATATATTGTAATTATGACCGCATATATATATATAAAGAGAGTATTATACTAATTATTTATATATATATATATATATATTTTTTTTTAAATCAAAATCATACTCATACACCACCTTAAGTTAATTTTATTCATTTAACGTTGGTAATAGAATTTATCTTAATTACTTTCTCCATTTTTAATAATTATGTCAATTTTCACTTTTTAATTTTTTAAAGTTACTTAATTTTATTTATTTAAGAGGGTGTATTCAATCTAAATTTTGTAGAATTTTGTCGAATTTTCAAAATTTGAGTGTATTCAATTAAAATTAAAGATATTAATTCAGATTTTTAAAAATTATTTTACAATCTTGAGGTATTAAATATAGATTTTTAAAAGTGATTTTGATGGATTTTAAAATTATTATTATTATTATTATTATTGGTGGTGTTGTTATTATTTGTTCTTGTCGTGTTCTTGTGATAAATAATACGATACTATTTATTAATATTATTATAATTTTAATAAAAATAATAATTTAAAACTAAAATATATTAACAAGTTATTATGATTTTTTTTAAATATATATTTTTATATTATAAAAGTAATTTTAAAAAATATTATTATCATAATAAATATGTATTAATGTCGTTTTTTCTTTTCAATTATAGAATATAATATATTGTCATTTCAGTGTAATTCTCTTTTTTCAATTATCGAATACACTATATCATTATTCCGATGACAGTGAAATAGATATTTAAATATATATATGTTTTGTTAAACCTTTAATTTATATTTATTTATTTATCATTGTAATAATTTTTTTTCAAAATTAGTATATTATATTTTTTATTTTATTTATATACATATTTATTTTTTATGTAAAAAAATTATATAAATAATAATAATAATAAATAATAAAGAAAATATAAAACTAGTTTGATATATTGAATGATAATATAAAACTAAAATTATAAAATTAAAATTAATAATCTATAATATAATAGTGTTACAAATGTTACAATATTTCTCCATTATTAATAATTATTTATTTATTAATATTAAATTTTATTTTGTTAATAATTATATATTATATTTATAAAGAATTTGTTGGATATAAATTTATATAATTAATATATATCCATAAAAAAATTAATTTACAATCCTACGAAATCCATGTAATTCCATAAAGAATTAAATAAAATTTGTAGAAATCCATCTAAATCAATTACTAAAATCCATCAAACTCATATTAGACTCCCACCCTAAATCTATACACTTTTTAAACTCCCAAAAAATCCATTAAAATCTCAATTGAATACACCCATTAACGTTGATAATAGAGTATATTTTAATTATTTTATTTATTCTTAATAATTATGTCAATTTTCACTTTTTATTTTTATTTTGTTACCACCCCATTAAATTAGTAACTTATTTATTTATTTATATATTATTCTCTCCGGTCCGTCACAGATGATCTCTTTTCTTTTTTTTATGTCTCAAGATGAAGTCTTTCTATTTTTAGTAAATTTATTTATCTTAAACATACTTAACAAATATAGATCAATTTAATTATATTTCTATCTTTTTTACGCGTAAAGTCCACTAAAAAACTCTTTTATTTTTATCTTTTCTCAATAAACAAATATTTTTATATATATCTTTAAAACTTCTCATTTTTTATAAAATTAGTTTTAAGTTAATTATAAATAAATATATATATTTTTTTATTTATTTGTATTATATAAAATTTTATTATCTAAAAAATGATATTCATATTGCATATATTTTTTCGAAATATAATTATAATAAAATTTAAAATACCAACAAAATTATTCATATAAAAATAATAAACTAATATCATAATTTGTTATTAATGACTTACTAATCTACACAATCTAAAAAATCGTGTCTCGAACAAAAAGGCTCATCTTTCGTCGGACGGAGGAAGTTCAATTTATTATACTTGAATAATAATTATTTTGTCATACTTTGTAATTTATTAATTTTCAATAAAGTTTTTCATAATATACTCCCTCGTCCTATTTCAACGGGCTATTTGGAGTTTTCTAATAAATTTAAAAATAATAATATTTTATTGGTTAGTAAAAGTATGTAAGAAGTTTTGATATTTTTGCCTTTTGATTTTACGTATAAAATAATTATATTTGTAATGATATGTTTGTAATTTAGGTAAAAATTAAGAGTATTTGCATATTACTTTTACTAAAATAAAAAATGAATATTTTAAAGTGAGACAGGCGAAAATGGTAAAAATGTTATTTTGAGTTGAGACAAAGATTGATACTAGTGTATGATTACTTTTATTAAAATATAAAATAAATACTTTAGAGTGGGACAGACGAAAATGGTAAAATGAGTACTTTGAGTTGGGACGAAGGGCGGTATCATTTTAAGTTTTATATAATTTATTTTTGGGTAAATTATTTTTTTAATACCATATTTAACATTCTTTATTATTTTAAATTTTTAAATGATCATATTTGAAAATAGTTTTGCAACTAAATGTTTATTGCTGAAATAGTCCTCCGATGTCGGATTTTCCACTATATTTCGCTGGTGCTAATATCGATGCCACATCAGCGATACCTAAAATTTTCTAATTTTTTTTTATTTAAAATAAAAAATTTAACTGTGGTTAAAATTGGACCAAATTGTGATACAATTTATCAATCGTAATTGCAAAAGAACTTTTGATTATTACGATGAATATTGATTTTTGTCAGAATCTAAAATTTTTTATTGAAAAAGAAAATTTTGAGTAATCCTTTTTACAGCTTTAAGTGTATGACGTAGTGCCGATATTTCAGTCATGTCAGCATCGGCGAGATATGGTAACAACCATTTCTTAATTTTAATGCCAACAAATATATATATATATATATATAAATTTTGGACAGGAAAAATATTTTATTGGATATGGAATAAATAAAAATTTAAAACTTTTCATGTTGAATATTTTATTTACTAGAAATTAATTTAAAAAATAAGTAGTATTATATAAATTATACTTAATACCTGCAATTAAATAATAAAAATAAACAATGAATTTTAATAATTAAAATGCAATTAATACAATAAAAATAAATATAATTATAAAAATTCTAATTTAAGCAATATTTTATATAAAATTCTTAAAAAAAAATTAGCCAAAAGATATTTGATTAACTTTTCTCATTACTCAAAACTAAACGACGAATGTGAAGGGTGTATTTGGTACATAGAATTGACAAGCAAGAGAAATATCAATTTTCTTGTTTGGTTGAGTAAGAGAAATGAAATTTAAAAAATAAATTATTTTATTTTTCTATTTTTATTTATCTCTCATATTCAGATAAATGGAGAAAAGTAATATTGCACTATATATATATATTTATCTTTTTTGCACTATTTAAGTTTTATAGATTTTAAAATTATATTATTTAAATTTTACAAAAATTATATTTCATTTATTATTCAAGTATTTAATTATTACAATTTTTTTAAAAAAATTGTACTAAAAATATGATCTTACAAAATCTCGTATATAATTTATGATTTTTTTTTAAAAAAAAGTCAAAAAAAAATACTTTTTTTTGATAAATTCTTTTTTTTTTTTTTTTACATTTCTCAACGCAATTCTTTATTTTACCAAACAACAAAATTAATTCACCGTTCTCTACTCAATTCTCTTATCTCTAATTCTATTATCTACTTTTATTTATCTGCAATGCTATTTTATGTACCAAGCAGCCAGACGCCCACGAGAGTGTTCATTTTTTATTTTTAGATGAATATATATTTTATTTATATATTGTATTTTTTTAAAAAAAATAATACTCCCTCCAT